CACATATGGCTTTAACTATAACTAATCATTGAGTAACTAAAGCGGAGTACTGGTAATCGCGTTTCTTGATACTCGCGAAACAAAATATTGAGTCTGATTTTTCTATGAATATATAAATCAAAGAAAAAAATATTTATGGAAGCATTTTTTGTTTATGTAACAGCAAGTTGTGGGAATATCCCTGTTGGGTGATAACGCATCTGCATTTTGATTCTTAATTGAGGATTAAATATAGATGTCTATGGGCCACAGCAACCACGTACCAGCAGAACTATTTAGATTTTGTATTAGATTTTGAGTGAGATTGAGAGGTTCTGTGGGCAGCTGTACACGTTATCGTTGGACGGACGTCAGTTTGAGCGAGATATGAATATCCATTCATATCTCGCTCAAACTCGCTCGCTCCTGCACCATAAAAACGGCAAGGCCCCAGGCGAGGAAGGAATAACAGCGGAGGTTCTGAAAATGTGTGGGTGGAAAGCCGATACTTAAAGTCCTTCAGAAGATCTTTAATTGCGTCCATCATGGAGGCACTACTCCGGAGGCGTAGAGCAGAATTGCGGTGGTCTTAGTCTTTAAGAAAGGCGACAACGCTCTCTTGAAGAACTACAGACCGCTTTCCCTTCTGAGCCGCGTCTACGTGCTGTTTTCGAGAGTCATTACGAATCGTCTCGCATACAGACCCGACAGCTTCCAGCCTCCCAAACAAGCCGGTTTTAGAAAAGGCTTTAGCACCATAGACCACATACATAACCTGCAGAAAATTGTACAGAAGACAAAGTAGTACAATTTGCCACTAGTCTTGCGTATGTAGACTATGAGAAAGCCTTTAATTTCATCCAAATTGGGGTGCTGCAGTCCCCCCAGCGATGTCAAGTATACTGTCGGTATATCAAAGTGCTGAATTGTTTATACAGTAGGGCTACGATGGATATCCGAGTACAGAACCAGAGTACGAAATGATTTCTTATATAATGATTTCTTATATTTACGCGAACACTACACATTGAATAAAACTATTTTTACGGATTTTATCGCGTTTAATTAACTTATTTTATATTTTCGACGTTTCGGTTGCTTTCCAGCAACCGTGGTCACGGGGGACTGAGGTGATTGACGTCCCGATGTCAAAGTTAACCCGGAATACCTTCAGCTTTTTAATTATTAATTTTGGTCCGATCTACGCAGAATGAACTAACTGTGTCTTGAAGTCTTGCAGTGGTATGCTTGGGTTTAGTTTTAATTTTATGAATTACAGAATCCCAAGCAGGTGGTAGTACCCAGCCTCCCTCTCTATTGAAATTAGGATGTTTTTTAATTTCAATAGCCTCACGTATCATCCTTGGCAGGAATCGATGTTCTTTCGCGAGGACTTGTGGTTCATCAAATCTAATGTAATGGCGGGGGCCGTCTAGGATATGATCACAAACTGCAGACTTCCCGGAACGTTGGTGCTTCACGTCAGCTATGTGTTCTTTTACGCGGGTTTTTATTGATCGTTTTGTTTGCCCTATATATGAGAGACCACACTCACAATCAAGCTTGTATACTCCTGCATCTTGTAGAGGAATATTGCACTTGACGGATGGTAAGAGCTGACTAATCTTCTTCGGCGGCTTGAAGAATGTTCTAATAGAAGCTCGCTTCAAGATGTAGCCAATCTTGTCTGTGACACCTCTGACATATGGTAGTACAGCAGGCACACGCTCGACTGTGGCCGGCTTCACTCGGTCACTGTGACGTAGGCGCGGAACCCGAAGCTTGTTGTCGTGCAGAACCTGCTTGACGTGCTGAAGCTCGGCGGCCAGGTGTTTGCTGTCACAGATCCCTCGTGCTCTCCGCAACAAAGATTTGCCCACGGTAGCTAACTGTGAAGGGTGATGGTGGGATTCACCGTTTAAGTATCGGTTTGTATGGGTCTTTTTCTATACACAGTGTGACTTACGGTGTTATTAGGATTTCGAATGACTAACACATCTAGGTGCAGTAAGCAGGGCTTTCTCCTCAAAGTCCTCCATGAAAATATCGGCGACAATGGGAGATACCGGTGAGCCCATCGCAACACCATCTACTTGCTTGTAAAACTGCTCCTTCCACAATAGGTAGCCAGATGTAAGGCAATGTCTAAGTAATACTGCATATTCTGCTGGCATGTTGTTTTCCTCTAGTTTCCTAGTTATAATTGAGATGCAGTCTTCAACAGGTAGGCATGTAAATAGAGACTGAACATCAAAACTGACCATAGTTTCATTGTCAGTAAGACATAGGTCTTTTATCTCACTGACAAAATGGTATGAATCCTTAGTGACTACGAAAACGCCTGTGGTTTTTTGTTACGCACGAAGTTGCGTTACATACGTTTTACTTATTTCTTTTTTTCTTTGTTGTTTTTAAGTTGTAACCACCGCCAAATTTTTTTCTTTTTTTTTTTGTCAATTGAAAGTACACGGCGATAATATCTGCATCAAGAAGTTTTATTTTTCTCCTCGAATTAAAAAGTATTCATGGTCAGCTTCGAGCCGGATTCTAGCGGCTATTGAGGATTTTCATCGAGAAATTATAATCTACTATAATTTCTATTATTATATTATTATTATTATATTAGGCATTCTATCTCAGTCCTCACGGGTGACAACGCATCTGCATCTTGAGTCTTTATTGAGGATAGATGTAGATGTCTATGGGTCACAGTAACCACTTACCATCAGGTGGACTGTGTGCTCGTTTGTCACCCGATCCTATAAAAAAAAAAAAAAAAATACTGAATATCTACGTAATTAGAGATTTACAACAAGTATATACAGCTTGGAACGTCCGGGGTCACCTTGAAGACGGAGACAAAGAAATTTTGAACAAAACAAAAGGAAATAACCAGTGCAGTGTTTTTTTTTTATTTTCGTTATATTTAGTGATAATTTCTCAATAATTGTTCAATTTCCAGATATTATTATAATTTTCGCCTGTATCTCAAAATGACCGATGAAAGGGAATTAATTAAAAAAGGGCAAGTTACAAAGGTCGATTAACGGCATTCAATAATTATCTCAGTGAATTAAAGGATACATTGAGCTCGTCTCAGATTAGCGAACTGCAATTGCGAGTAAGTAAAATTGAATTATTATACGAACAGTACGATGAGGTTCAATTGAAATTGGAGTGTATAGTGGACGATATCAATAGTCAAATAAACGAGCGGAATGATTTCGAATCGACGTATTATAAAATTCTTTCGAAAGCTCACGAACTTATTCGACAAAATAAAAATAATCTTGAATGTTTAGGCAGTGAAAAAGATTTTTCGCCTATTAACAATAATAAGCTTGTTAAATTGCCTACTATTCAGCTTCCGAAATTTAGCGGGTCGTATGACAACTGGCTTGAGTTTCACGATACTTTTTCTAGCTTAATACACTCAAATGATGATATCGATGATATCAACAAGTTTCATTATCTTCGCGCGTCGCTCGAAGGGACAGCCGCCGTCGTAATACAATCTATTGAATTTTCGGCGAGTAATTATTCGGTGGCTTGGAATTTATTATGCGGACGTTTTAATAATAAACGTATTTTAATTCAAAACCATGTAACGGCATTATTTAACATTGAGGTAATTACTAAGGAATCGTCGTTCATTTTAAAGCGCATGATAGACTCCGTGAGTAAAAATCTACGTGAACTTGAGTCATTAGGTGAGCCCATAAATCACTGGAACACCTTACTCATCCACATTATTACTCACAAATTAGATAGTAAGACATACCGGGAATGGGAAGAGTACAAAGGTCACTTGGATAATAACAAAATTATTTCATTTGCGTCATTTTTATCATTTATACAAAATCGTGCAGATCTATTAGAAACTTTGGAACTGTCTCGCAATCCTCAAATTAACCAAAATAAAAATAAACTTAAAAGCATGGTGTCAGTCACTAAGACCCAAAATCGGTTAAATGAGAAAAGCGAAATGTCTCAGTTCAAACTTTGCCCTAACTGTAAGGCTGAGCACAGTCTAAACAATTGTTCAAAATTTCTAGGGCTTTCTTCTGAACAACGATTAGAATTATTACCGCAGTTTAAGGTTTGTTATAATTGTTTACGTTTTGGTCATTTTGCAAACCGTTGTAAGTCGAGTGGCTGTAAAGTGTGTAAAAGAAAGCACAATACTTTGATTCACGTTTCAGATATGAAGCTCAAGACAACTCCCAATTTATCTTCTCGCCCTGAGGACGGTCCACTATCTCTCCCTGGTACATCGTGCGAAGATGAGCATATCGGTAATAATAATATCACTTTGTCTGCGCAAGTATCGACCTACCTACGAAATAAAAATCAGGTACTTTTAGCCACTTCCCTTATAAAAATATACGGTCACAATAATAAGGAATACTTAGCTCGCGCTATTCTAGACAGCGGTAGCACTTCTTGCCTAATTACGGAAAGATTGAGTAAATTATTAGAATTACCGATAGTTAATGTTAACGAATCTTTATTAGGAATTAATAACTCTAAGTCTCACATAGGCAAAATGTGTTGCGTGCCTATAAAGTCTTTGAACGAAAACTTTAATACTAATCTTTTCTGTTTCGTTTTGCCTCATATAACGGACGAAGTACCGAGTCAGGAAATACCTTTAAACGACATTAACATACCTAGTAACCTCTGTTTAGCAGATCCCCGCTTCCACACGCCATCGTCGGTAGATTTAATTATTGGCGGATGTTTTTTGGGACCTATTAGGGGTACGTAAAATTAGTTTAGGAAACGGAAAGCCGGTACTCATTGAATCTAGGTTAGGATGGCTAGTCTCAGGCCCCTTAATTAATAATGGCCAAGTACCGTATTCGATTTCTAACACTAAGTCGTTTTTAGTAAAACTAAATTTGAGGGAAAACGTCTCTTCGCACAATGATAATAACGATGATATTCAAAACCTATTGACGCGTTTTTGGCACCTAGAGGAGGTTTGCCATGATACATCAGTTCTCTCCGCGGAGGAGAAAATGTGCGAAGAACATTTTATTAAAAATACAACTCGTCTACAAGACGGTCGTTTCTGTGTGAGAATACCACTGAAACAATCACGTGATAATTTAGGCGGTTCCCTACAACGCGCCAAGCTTTGCCTCCTTTCTCTTGAGCGTAGGTTTAAGGGTCAACCCAAATTTAAAAATAATTATACTCAATTCATGTCAGAGTATCTAACACTAGGACACATGTCTGAATGTTCATTTGATCCACGGAGGTTAGCATATTTTATACCACACCATGGAGTGATTCGCGAAAGCAGCTTAACGACTAAGCTCAGAGTTGTTTTCAATGCGAGCAGTCCGACTACTTCCGGTATTTCATATAATAATTTGCAATTAGTGGGGCCCACTGTACAGGATGATCTGCTATCTATACTACTTAGATTCCGACAACATAAGTACGTGCTATCAGCAGACGTAGAAAAGATGTATAGACAGATCGTCGTACATCCTGATGACAGACCTCTCCAACAAATAGTTTGGAGAAATGATCCATCAGAGCCCATGAAAGCCTACCAGTTAAACACCGTTACTTATGGCACAGCCAGCGCACCCTATCTCGCCACCAGATGTCTTAAGCAGATTGGTATGGATTGCAAGGACGATAAAATCTCCGAAATAATAATCCTTGACTTCTACGTCGATGACCTATTAACTGGAGGGGACAGCATTCAAGATGCGCTGGATATACATAACAAGGTGTCTTCTGAACTGGCCACAGCTGGTATGAACCTCCGTAAGTGGAAATCAAATGAACCTCGAGTAATACTAAATAATAACAATTCATCTCTCGACTTAAATATTGGTTCTACTGAACCCTGTAAAACATTAGGTCTCAGCTGGCAAATCGAGTCTGATGAACTGTATTTTTCGACGAGTGAAATCGTTTTGAATAATTTTACAAAACGTGGATTACTCTCGGTTATTTCACAAATCTTTGATCCACTGGGTCTTCTGACCCCATGCATAATTTCTATGAAAATTTTAATGCAAAAATTATGGTTACTTAAACTTACATGGGACGAACAGTTGCCTTCGGAAATAATTAAATTATGGCTTTCAATTGTAGAAAACTTATCATTTTTAAACAATTTAAGAATTCCACGCAGTGTTATCTGCAATCAATATATTAATGTAGACTTACATATTTTTAGTGACGCATCTCAAATGGCTTACGGAGCATGTCTGTATGTCCGTAGTTCTAATAATAAAAATAATGTGAAGGTGCGTTTACTTTCAGCCAAAAGTCGCGTGGCTCCCATAAGGCCGACTACAATACCACGGCTTGAGCTCTGCGCTGCACTTGTCGGTGTCCGTCTCTATGAGAAGGTGATAAGTTCGCTTCGAATCCAAGTAAGATCAGTAATTTTTTGGTCAGATTCGACAATCGTTTTAGGTTGGTTAAAAATGCTACCTAACAAATTACAACCTTTTGTTCGTAATCGAGTTGCCGAAATTTTGGAAAAAACAGGTTCATTTACTTGGCGACATGTTCCCACTGATCTCAATCCGGCAGACTATGTTTCCCGCGGTACGAACATAAATCAAATTCATAATCTTGACTTATGGTGGTCTGGTCCACAGTTTTTAAAGGGTGACATGTCTAGTTGGCCTGCTAACCCTATTGTAAGTGAGAAGCTACCAGAAACTCGCTCAGAGATTTCTTTAGTTGTTACCGATCAGAAAAAACCTTTAATTGACTTTGAGAGATTCTCTAATTTTATAAGATTACAACGTTCTATGGCCTACGTGTTAAGATTTATTAATATTTGTAAAAAGAAACCGGTACAAAGTAAATTTTTAAGTAACGACGAACTACATAATTCTTTAAATACTTTAATTAGATTGTCACAAATTGAGTCATTCGAGGAATATGTGACCTTATATAATAACAAAAAATTGCCTTCAAAATGTACTATTTTGAAATTTAATCCTTTCCTAGACGAAAATAAAATAATGCGTGTCGGTGGTCGTTTAGGAAATGCATTATTTACTTATGAAAAGAAACATCCGATTATGTTACAGTCCACTAATCGTTTTACCAAATTATTGTTTAAGTATATGCATGTCAAGCTTTTACACGCCGGTCCTCGTTTACTATTAGCTTCAATTAGAGAAATGTATTGGCCCATCGGAGGCCTCAAGTTAGCTAAATATTGTTATCGACAATGTTACTTATGTTGTCGTTATAAGGGAAGGGTTATAAATCCACTTATGGGCAATCTGCCTCAGGGTCGAGTGACTCCCGGCGGTTTTCCCTTCGAGAGCGTTGGCGTCGATTATGCTGGACCTATTATGTCCGCCAGTCGTCAAGGCCGTGGTTGCAAGCTTACGAAAGTGTATATTCTCATCTTCGTTTGTTTTGCGACAAAGGCTGTACACGTGGAGTTAACAGGCGATCTAACAAGTAATAATTACTTATCAGCACTTCGTCGATTCATTTCACGTCGCGGAAAACCTAAACACATATACTCCGACAACGGAACTTCATTCGTAGGCGCATACAACGAAATCGGTCGTTTTATAAAAGACAATTGCAATTCACTGTCCGAGAATTTGGCTCAGGAAAATATAAATTTCCATTTCATTCCTCCGCAAGCCCCTCACTTTGGCGGTCTTTGGGAAGCAGGTGTTAAGTCAATAAAATATCATTTACGGAGAATATTAGGTAATTGTAACCTTACATACGAGGAATTAAACACTGTGCTGATTCAAATTGAAGGTGTACTGAACTCTCGTCCGCTGACACCTCTCTCCACGGATCCTGATGACTTACTGCCATTAACCCCGGGACATTTCCTCATCGGCCGCCCCATCACCTCTCTTCCTTCTCAAAATTATGAAGAAGTCCCTAGCAGTAGACTGAGTTGATACCAACGCATCTAACAAATTCGTCAACATTTTTGGAGAAGATGGAGCAAGGAATATCTCTCAGAACTCCAGCAGAGATCAAAATGGCGTTCCAATGCTGACACTTTAGGGACGGGTGATCTTGTAGTCCTGAAGGAAGACAATTTACCGCCGCTCAAATGGCGACTGGGTCGAATTACAGCCTTTCATCCCGGAGCCGACGGCATCAACCGCGTTGCCGATATCAGAACTGCCTCCGGAATCGTCCGAAGACCTTTCTGCAAAATCTGCCCTTTACCTAACAACAAGGAAGGCTAATTTTGTTGAAAGACAAGCTTTCAACGCCGGGGGGCATGTCTACGCAAACGCCTGTGGTTTTTTGTTACGCACGAAGTTGCGTTACATACTTTTTACTTATTTCTTTTTTTTCTTTGTTGTGTTTAAGTTGTAACCACCGCCAATTTTTTTTTGTTAATTGAGAAGTACACGGCGATAATATCTGCATCAAGAAGTTTTATTTTCTCCTCGAATTAAAAAGTATTCAGGCTGCCTATCGTGCCGTCTAAGAAAATCTAAGCCTGCATCACCATCTACAGAAAACCTGCCGTCCGCACGGCTCGTTCATCACGCACGTCCGTTCACATACACCGGACTGGACTGCTTCGGGCCAATAGAGGTCACAGTGGGACGACATCGTGAAAAGCGCTATGGCGCGTTATTCACCTGCATGACATCACGAGCGATACACATAGAGGCAGCCCACTCGTTAAGCGCCGACTCAGCCGTGTCGCCACTCAGGCGTTTTATGAGCAGATGTAGTGTATGTGTCTCCACCCTACTAGTAGTGTAAGAAATACATGTACTCTTAAGTTTATTGATCAGTATAATTAAAGAATTAGTCTCAGCAACACGTCTTCTCTTTCATTAACACCTGCCGACATCACAGTTACGTAGAAAAATGAGGTGTTTGATGTCCTGATGTCATAGTTAACGAAGGAGCGATCTATGCATCGAACGATATACGTTGATTGGACCAAAAATTAAAAAAAATAAAAGTTGAAAATAGCCTTCGTATATGTAAGTAATACATCAGAACCTCAAACAATTCAGTCCCCTCCGTGATCATTGGTGATCTGAAGTGCTCAAAACGACAAAAATTAAAAAAATAAAATAAAACTAAACGCATTTTAAAACTAACTTTACGGATTTTATCACGTTTAATTTGGAATTAATATAAGTAAAAGTAAGTTTAAATGGGATGACAGACTCTTACGCCACTACCACATGGTATATTTATAACAATTATAGCATCTTAAAACAGAACAACTTTGCAAGTGTTTCAATATAAAATCAATATTAATACTAATTCAAGGAATTTCTATTTCAGGTGAGTAAACTAATTCACACGTGACACCTTCCGTAACACGATTACACGCTCTGTCAGACATAGTGAATCTCTATAATACTTCGACCAGTCATCCGCATACAGGCCATTGGATATTCCAGATATATAGCGCTCAGTAATCTTTACTCCAAGACGAACGACTTCAAAATATATGTAAAGGTTTACATCAGACGTTATAAGCTTCTGTTGTTGTGGTCGTAGGAAATATTGGTAATCCTCTCTGCTATGGGAGACCTCATAAGTTTCAGATGAAGACAACTTATGAATTGATGGGTTTGGTTACTAGTTGTCATAAAATAACAGAGAATAAGAACCGATAAAACAAATAAAAATCATCTTTAAGAATTTTGTAAGCTTCTCAAGTGGATACCGATATGATTTTGTAGGAATTGTCACAGCCTATTACCTCACAAAATTCGTTTATACTGCGTATTGTTTAATCCTTCATTTTCCTTTTATCTATGAGTTTATTTCCGTCTCCAACAATTAACATCTGCGTTCCACTAAATTCATTCGAAATCATTCTCTTCGTAATGAAGTATATTAAACGTCTGTTCTTTAATAATCATTTTCCGTTACAATGTATGCTTGTAGAAGTCGACATAATTGTAAAAAATCACAAAATCCAATAAGAAGTAAAAATAATAAAACTTTACATAAAAGAAGTACTAAGCCGCCTTATTTCTTTCAAAAAATTACACATATTTGAACTGCCCATTTTTCTTGTATCTTTCCTATTCATTCTTGACTGCCATCATATTGTATTTTCGATATTATTTAGGGACACCTACCTCTTCTAAAATTCACATATCCACGTAGCGAAGTAACACGCACTAAATCTAACTATCTGGACCCTACACGGTCGCGTGAATTTCGGCCGCGATAATCGAGATACGCGGATTCACTGCATCGCGGCCAGCGAGTTACTGCTTCTTCGCCCACGCGTCGAGCCACTGCAAGCCGCACATGGCCGCCCCACCTGGCGGCGTTTTTTTCCACCTACATACCATCGGGTGACGCGCCAGCTCGAACGCAATTGGATGGCGTTCAAAAATGACCAAATTTGGGCATAAACAGATATTTACAACTATCCTTGATTAACAATCAAAATACAGAAGAGTTGTCACCTCTGAGGACTAAGGTAGAATGTCTCATTTCCATTAAAAAGTGTCTCCGGTTCTCTACACTTACAAAACGCAGCAGCATTAAATGGCTATTTTACGCAGGTATCTCAGGTTCTCGAGTAGCAACCTCGTACCAGTAGGCAAAGTGTAGGGTGACCCCACACTAGATGGAGTGACGACCTGGTGAGAAATGCAGGAAGTCGAAGGATGCAGGTGGTTCAGGACTGTGCTTTGTGGCATTCCTTGGGGAAGGCCTATGTTCAACAGTGTACTTAGGAAGGGCTGTAATGATGTAGATGATGATTTAGAAAAAAATCCTAAAGGAGTTTGAGTATGAACTGATCGTGCATGGGTAGCACGCTGCAATATTTAAATAATTGTAATTCATTTGACGAAAATTATTCATTTTTATAAGTGGTAGAGCCAAGCTGCAGCTATTTCACTAGTATAGTTATAGCACGAATGGGCCGGGTCAGCCGGGGAAGCTCCATGCTCTCACAGAATACGAGCGTAAACTAGCAGCTTAACACTGCTGTGTTTCGTATGGTAAGCGTGGAGAATCGGAGACACTTTTTACTGGAAATGAGGCATTCCGTCTTAGTCCTCACGGGTGACGAAGCATCTGCATTTTGATTCTATATTGAGGATAAATGTAGATGTCTATGGGTCACAGCAACCACTTACCATCAGGTGGACTGTGTGCTCGTTAGTCACCCTATCCTAAGAAGTAAAATCTTTTGTAGCAGATATGATACACGTATCATCCGCGAATTGATAAGAGGTACAGTATTTATTTATATTAATCATGTCGTTAACATATGCCAGAAAGTGGAGTGGACTGATTACCGAACCCTGAGCCGTACCTGTCGAGACAGATACGGGCTTACTTAGGCATTTATCTATTGCATTTCGTGACGGCAAAGCGCGCAGGTATGTTCTCCTAGGACCTAAAAATTAAGATTCAAACGTTTTGTCGTATGAAATCGTATCTAGCAATCATATTATACATACAAATGATAAAAAAAATCCTTTACTATATTGCATTGAATTACAGAAAATAACGAAAATAAATTTTGTTTTCTGTTTAGCGAGTTCGCTAGTGTCGTCTCATTTTCTATTCAACTCACAGCAAACTGTATCTTATCGGATTCGGATAAAAACTATTACTCATGTCAGTTATTGATACGTGCGTTCAGGAACAAACGTAACACGTCACAAGATATCTGAAAATAAAATTAAATAACGTTACGTCAATGTAATTCTCTCGGTCATTTACAAAAGAACAATGAATGAAATAAACAAAACTATAGGGGATAAAATCTATCTAATTCAAAATAGAAACTTTAGTGAATTTGAATTATGAAGTGTTAAATAAACTCTTAAACGATACATGAGATTTTTTTGCGATTGGATTAAATTTAACTTTGCTCTATAACGTACTTATGCCGATAGATAAAGTTACTCCAATAATTTTTCCAATTTAGAATATACAAATAAAGAGTAAGTAAATGAAAAAATAAATAAAAGCCGTGCGACATGACATGACACCTTGCTCTATATGAGCGAGGTGTCATGTCATGTCGCACGGCTCAGACGCATGATATACGCGGTTGAAACCTCAGGGCACAGCTAGTTTTATAGTATACCATTAATTTTCTTAATTTTTCCATACATTGCTATCTAGAACGTTTGAACTAATAGAAGCGTTCACTGCTGGTTTCTCTCGGTTCTCATTGGGCGGCTAGCGTTTATGCGTCGTTCACGCGCCGAGCTTAGTGTTAAATTGTTTTTATTTTTTATTATCTCTAAAACTATTTCCAAATAACATGGTATAAAGAACAATGTACATTTACATAATACATAACCGCTCACGCCTGTCACTCAGAGGGGGTAGGCAGCGACTATGGACTTCCATTTGGCAAGATCTTGACACTCCTCGCTCGCCTTCTCCATATCCATATACCTAAGCATAAAATTTCGCCTAGGGCGTACCTGCCTTGAAAATAAACATGCAGCCATGACATTTTTTCTCTAAATCTATGATAAGGAACCTTACGAATGATACGAATTCTAATTCTAATGTTTCACTTCCCATATAAAAATGCTAAAAATGTACCACAAATTTGGATGTCTATTTATAAATTTCATACTATTTCTCGACGAAACCTTATAATTAAGATAATTGTTATTCACATCGTTAAATTTTGTAAATTTTATTCATTCTATCATCAAATCAAAATTTAAAAACTGATTCCAGGTCACCCCATAGTCACCCCTTATAAGGTGGAAATTTTCCATAGTAGCTTCGATTGACAGGCGGGTTGGCAACTGCAGTTATATTTTGAATTGTCACGAAGATATCGCAGAAATTCAGTCAAATCTAATATTACAAAAATCAAAAATACAAAAAAGACATACGAATATCGAAACAGATACATTATTAATAAACAGCCAAATAAAACCAATTTATTTAAAGGATAATGCTATTATCT